CGAAATTTCGTTTTGGCATCACATAGGTCAGATCAACAAACTGGTAAAATGTAAACAGTGTTGTAAAGTACAGTGTACGAATAAATATTTTGTATTGTTATTATAAATATAAATATACATTTGATTGTTAAAAACTAAATAAGAATTAAAGTCAAATGAGATTAAGAAAGAAAAAGAAAACGAGATGAAGAAAAGGAAGAAAAAGAAAAATAGATGAGATCAACTGTCGGATCAGCAGTGTGGTACAGTAAATTATATAATGATAGATGGTATGGTACAGTAAAGTGCAGTGCAGCAGTTATACAGTCAGTCAGTCAGTTCAGTCAGTTCACAGCTAGTGGAGAGAAGCTGTTTCTCAGTTTGTTGGTTCTTGCGCGTATGGCTCTTAGCCTGCCTTAATGACAAATCAAAATGGTACCACTTTACTTGAGGTCAAAGAATTTATTCATTACACTGTCATAATGGTGTCATGACCAGTGTGGCGGTAGTTACTCAAAAAAAGTAATGCATTACACATTAGTGGTTACTTCTTTAAAAGTAATGCCTTACTTTACTTAATTACTCACTGCTGAAAGTAATAAGTTACACTACTAGTTACATTACTTTTGGATTACTCCATCACATCACCTGAGATGCACCATAACTTAATTGCCAATTAACAATATAAAGTTAAACCTTATATATGACCAGATCAGCACAAATCCTTATTCTAATATGGAGGACATACACAAGATCTCTCTTTTATGCGCTTTAATACAACAAAGCCGACCGCAAAGTTGTGAAAATCAGCCCAAACAGCACTTCACAGAAAAATGTGTCAAGAACAAGGCTACAGTACTGGCAGTATGCAAAAAATTATGATTAAACATTCATTGGAAACTTTTATCATCATTAAATGTCTATTTCTATTTTGAGGCCATGATATAAGCATCGTCAAACTGAATTTCTTTACAATACAACAACATAATTTAAAAGAGGTTGTCCTTCCACCATCTAATGCAAACATGAATTTGTTCAAAATAATATCAATAAATAAAATAAGATACTGCCCTTCATCATTATATCAGACGATGATGACACTTCAAAGGAAAACATTGCATATGAAATGTAATTTGACCTGTGTATTTAACAGGCCAAACACACTCAACTCACTGTAACTCACTCACCAAACTAGGGCTTTACAGCACATTTTTCCATCTTACTGGACATGTTTATCAAAGAAGTGGTTATACCTGATGAGGAGGAGTCTCTCAAATTGTTTGTCAGACATCCTGTTCCTCCTCAAAATCAACACAAGGCTGCCCAGACTAAAGAGCCTCTCCGCCAGTGCACTAGAGGGTGTCGCTGTGTTGAATTTCATACTTATAGTCTTTATCGTGGGGAAACAGTTCAGAATCTCCATCTCTGACCCTGACTTCAAATAGTCAATGACTGCTGGAGATGGGGATCTGTGGCGTACATACATCCTGCTCATCGTGGGGGGGAAGCACGGCATTCGGTGGTCAGCAGTGTCCTTAAAGCATCTCTCCTCTCCTCTTCTTTCAGCCACCGCGCTTTAAACTTTGGCAGTGTGACAGCTGCAAGGAGAGCATCTTTGCTGTCCAACACCGACCAAAATCGTGTCTTGATGGCCTGTGAATGTAATATAGAATGATTTGATGAGTTTGGTTATGTACAGTGTAATTTGCGTTGCATAGCTCAGCGGGAACCATCATGTGAGTTAATGAGGTACTGTAACATATCTGCGGATTCACTACAAAAAAATAATAATAGATCAAAATTTGAGAAATAAAACAATGTATTTGGCTTTCAGATTTAAAATTATAAAACAGACCTTACCTGTAATATGGCATTAGGCAGACCCGTTGTCATCCGGGAGAGCCCGTTTTGCAGTGCCAGTGTCTTTGATATCAAAATCTCCAGCGTTGGCAGGAGGCTGCCAAAGTTGGCACGTACTCTAAGCTCTCAAATTTTTTCTTTAGCTCCGTTTCCATCTTCACATAACACTGGTCCAGGTAGCTTGTAAAAGTTTTCCTGTCTGATGGTGGCCGTCTGCTCCTCGTTACCTGTATTTTGCTCAGTATGTTTCAGAAAGACAGCGATTCCACTGTTGAAACAGGCAACATTTCCTCCACGAAGTATGCTGCTACAAGCCTATTTATCTCTGCTTTTGTCAATACCTTTTGTTGAAAATCAAGCCTTGACTGCTTGGTTGGCGTCGGCTTATCTTCAGCGTCACTCATGGTCCGCAGGGTCTTTAGCCACTAGCTTTATGTTAGCATGTTGCCTTTGCAGGTGCTTGGAAAGATTTGATGTTGTGTTCGCAGCGGTGGAGAGTTGTTTTTGGCCTGGGCACAGTTTACACTTTACCGTCACATTCTTGTCCTTTCGCGCAACAAATTCGAAGTAGTGTGCATATCTCCACCCCTCAAAAGACGTTTTAAGCAGCTCTGCCATTTTTCGCTGCGTCTCCTCCTCCATGAACTCCAGCCAGAGTCACAGTCAGGTCATGTGAGTGAGGTTAGATGAGTGTTGTGTCAGCACGCATGAAAGGGGATGTTTGTTTTGTTTTTCTGTCCTCCTGTTATGCAGATAGTTGAAGAATTTAAAGTAATGCAAGTAACGAGATCATTTTTTGATTAGTAACTGTAATGCAATTACTGAAGTTATCAACAGTAATGTGTTACATTACTGCGTTACAGACAAATGTAATCTTATTACAGTAATGTGTTACTTTGTAGCGTGTTACCCCCGACACTGGTCATGACAGCCAGTACTGTGTCGTATCCTGCAAGTTATCAACAGTAATGCGTTACATTACTACGTTACAAACAAATGTAATCTGACTACAGTAACATTTTACCTCCAATACTGATCATGACAGCCAGTATTGTGTCGTATCCTGCAAGTTGTCAACAGTAATGTGTTACATTGTTGCGTTACAGACAAATGTAATCTGATTACAGTAATGCGTTACTTTGTTACTTTACTTTGTAATGCGTTACCCCCAACACTGGTCATGACAGCCAGTTTTGTGTGTTATCCTGCCAGACATCTATCTGACCAAGTGTTAGAATCGGTCTGTAACCTTGGGCATCTAATTATAATAATCATTATGTCACCTTGTCATAAACACAAAAAGAGGTGCATTTTTTTGTTAATGTCAAGTTGTCATAACAAAGACAACTTCTGGTGATGTCACTTTAATTAATGTCAAGTTGTCTTAATCAAGACAACCCAAACAATGTCAACTTGTCATTACAGAAACCGAATGACACTAAATGACAGCAGTCATAAAAGTGTATTACATGTACATAATGTTTATGACAAGTTCATGACAGTGTCATGTCATAGTTATGACAGTGTCATGTCACCCTTATGTAAATACCTTCAAGTAAAGTGTTACAGAAAATGCTTTAACATAGCATAAAGATTGTGTACATGCTGGAAAGGTGTAGGATGAAGCTTCAGCTTATTGCATCTACCCTGTTTATAATAAACAACCTATCTGATGTCAAAAGACAAAAAACTTAAGAGCACACACAATTGTTTAAAAATATATCAAATCCAATCAAATCAGGCTTTAATTATCACCTCACCAAACATATAACAGTAATGGAGGTAAACAGAACGGTGGTTTCGGGGGGTTGTTCCAACATTAAAGTAATTAATTCTAATACCATAAAATAGTCATTAATAAAATACAATAAACCCTAACTATCCAGCAATAAATCATAAACTAAAAGTCCAGTATGACACTCACACATCACACATCAGCAGTGACCATTTTTGGAAAAAATGACAATGGGCATTTGGCAATTAAAGTGACCATGTGCAGTGCTGTGCAGCATGTATAAGGTGCATGCAATTGTTCAAAAAGACATGAAAATAAGAATTTAATTTTGAGAATACATTATTTTAAACACAATTGGACAATATAATTTGAATTCATTCATTACATGATTTCACTTAAATATTGGCAGCTCTTGAGTTCTATATATTTAAACCAGTTGTGGTGGATAGCTGGAAACGATGAGGGACAAAGCAGCACACTTGCCTACTTGCTACATTTTTACCCCTACTTATATTTACTTATAACATTCTGTATATATTTCCATAAAAATAGTACTGTTGTTATTTTTTGCTTTTTATTGATGCATTTAAGATGTAGCCTATGTACACAAAACTAAAAGAAGTTTGTCCCAAAACTGACTGAAACCTAGAAATATGTATGTTTGAGTTGTAAAGAGTAGTGAATACTTATTTGGGGGGTTCAGGCACTGGGTGAGGGTAGTCTTTACTTTAAAGGTTGCTGCATAATTGTGGAAATATGTACACTATGTAAAAAGTAGGCAAGTTGCATGCAGCTGGTTCTACTTGGTGTCAGTGGGGGAATGTAGCTATCAGTGGGATCATATCTGTATCGTCCTGTCTTAAACTTGTACCTGATCATGCTGGTCATTTCAACAGAAGCGACGTATTGTACAGCCCTGTGTTGGACAATTGGCCACAGTAAGTCTGGATGTGCACTGTAACTGTACTGCTGTACTCTCTTTGTGGCAAGACTGGCGCCCACCTCTGCTCTGCTGCAATCTAGGGGCCTGGCTTTCTGTTAAAGGGGACATTGATGTACATAAATCCCAAAGATTGGATGCCTGATGATTTGCGTCCAACATGCACTGAGAGTATCTAAGAATAGTGAACATTTTATTCTTTTGAAATAGAGAAGCATCACGGTACATCAACCATCCTCTTTACCAGTCCAAGCTCATAGTTTGCTGTGCCGGTGCCTTTTTTGTCTTTCCTTTCTTCAACTTTGTTTCCTTTTTTCTCTCCTTTGCTCTCCCTTTTCCTTTTCCTTAATTTCACTCTGATGTTCTACCCCCCCACCCCCGTTCTCCTGGTTCTCCCCTTTTTCCTTTCTCTGGCCTCATGGTGACCCTTGCCCTGTGACCTTTTTGCACCGCTGGCCACCTGTGCTTTGTGACTTCCCCCAGCAGATGTTGCCCATCACCGTGCGCAACATGCCCTCAATAAGCCCTCTAATTCTAAAACGCCTCAAGGTACAATTCTCTTTGCCCCCTACTTGCCCCCTCCTCTCTGCCACCCTGTGGATGCCAACCGTCATCATCTGTCGCCAACCCTCCTTCGCTGTCCTGCTGTAATTAACCACCTTTTGGCTGCTACTGCTGCTGAATGTTGAGCCATATCCAGGGCTAAAGGCCTTTTCTGTCAATGATGTGTGACAACACAGGAAATCAGCTTTCTTTCTTTTCAGGTTTTTACCACACCACAAATCATTAATTTAACTCAAAGCTTTCTTTAATCTTATCTCTTGTGGTATTAGTTGGAGGAAGCCACTGACAAGAAAAGACAACAAACAGAAATACATGCAAAGTAGATTCAACAAAAAGTGTTTATTATGCTAAACTTCACTGATAAATCACAAACATGAAGAAAATGTCATAGTAAAGACTGAGTATTGCACTTACATTAAGTTGAAGGACTCAAAGAGGCTAAAAAAGAATTTTAAATAATGAAGCAGCAAAGCACCAGATCGTATGTCCCATAATGCAACTTTGAAGCATCTTATTGTTAGACCCTTTCAAACTTCATACCAACAGTTTGTAAATTAGGCTTCCTAATTGTCAGGTGGAGAGGTCTTTCCTTGGATCAATAAGCTGACCTCTAAATGGTGCCTCTTTTACCAACTTGTTTTACCTAAATTAAAAAAGGATGTGGACGCCATGTGCAGAAATACAAGAAATTAAAAACTCATAACAAAAAAAAATGTTGGTGAATCTTTTTGCAAAGTAGTTCAGTATGAAGTGTGAAATAACAAATATAAAAAGGGAAACTCATTTCAATTCATGCAATAAGTTTTTGCTAAATCCATTTCATGGCTAGTCCAGAACGTTGAAGAAATCCCAGTTTACATCTTTCCACAAATCTCTGCATGGAAACTATGGGCTGCTTAATCTCAGGGAGAGATTGTGGTTATGGCACATAAACTATGCTTAAGGTTGGACAGCTTAAACAATAGGTTAAGGTTTTTGGGAAAGAATTAGAGAAGAGTCCTAATTACTGTGTAAAACAAACAAAAACTTCAACAAAAAACACAAACATTGCTGTAATTGTTGGTATGTGACTACACAAACCCATGAGAGTTGGACACTTAGCCTATCTAGCACCCTAACTTTTCACCTCACTCCATTAAATGCTCACTCCTCTCTGTCAGGCATTGAATGTTGGCAGTGGATGTAAATTGTCAATTTAAACATTAAAAATATATAAAATATGTCTCTAAAAGTGCTAAAAATGATATTCAAACTTAAGTAGATGCAGTAAATTTTGAATACAATTTTACATGAACTGTTTTTGTTAATATAAGGAATATATATTATATTAAAAAAATACAAAGTAAAGATTAATCTGCAACTGATCACATTACCAATTCTTTACCTAATACTGTATCTTGACCCACTCAGGTAGACGCATAAAGTTACTACATGTCCTGCAGCCATGTCTGGCACTCAGTTCCTGCAACGCTAGACACAGTTGAATTAAAAAGAGCCTTGGTGCACCTTCTGGGCATTTCGCATAGGTTGGTCTTGTTGGTATTGTGCCAGGACACAATAACTTGATTGGAAATCGGCACTTTGGGTTGTCATACATTGAAAACACAAACTGTACCAACATACTTTAAACTGTTCATATACCTCACCTGTGATGAATCTGATATCAGCCTATCAGTGTTGACCATCTGAAATAATGGGGTTTCCATTAGATAGAACAAAATTATAGTTGTTTTTTTCTATTATGTATGTATGTATGTATGTATTCTTTTATGTGGTCAGATTGTGCAGAACAGAACATATTATTAACAGCTAAGACAGCTGCACTCCACCAAAGACAGTATGTGTATAACCCCTGAGAAAACCAAACATGTCCAGAGACATAAATCATATCTGGACATATTCTGCAGTGCAGCACAGAGGAGGAATGGTAAAATATGGATTGAATATAGATGAATATGTTCTCCATTATCTCAGAACAGAAGCTTGGCAGCACTCTCTGGTCCTGAGCTACTGTACATGTGTGTCCTACAAAAACACAGTGATTCTTGATTAACTGAAGTAAGGCCAGTGCTTTGTGTTTGGAACTCCTGTAAGTCGGACCACATGTTTACATGTACTGTAGTACAATGCATTCAGGTTCATGCCATGCAAACTTTTTGCCCTCTATCATGTTGCATATTTCCATATGGAGGTGTCTTTAGGATGTGTAGCAGCCAGACAAATTTATTACAGTCATTGGGGTGTATGTATTCTCTTCATATCCTGTGCACATTGTACATTTCCTTTATTTGATGTGGTTTAGTTTTGACTTTGGTTTGAGATAATTCCTGGAGTTCTGGCTGTCAGTGGGCAGGTTTAAGAATAAATACACACACACACACACACACACACACACACACACACACACAAACACACACACGTGCGCACGCGTGTGCACACACACACACACACACACACACACACACACACACACAAATTGGCAGTGTATTTTAAAAAAAGCTGCAGGAAAGGTCAATGTCAATATTACATTTATTTATATTCAAATATAAGCAATTAACAATCATAATTTATCAATCAATCAATTTTATTTAAAAAGCCCAATATCACAAATCACAATTTGCCTCACAGGGCTTTACAGCATACAACGTCCCTCTGTCCTTAGGACCCTCACAGCGGTTAAGGAAAAACTCCCAAAAAAACCCACAACCCTTTAACGGGGGGGAAAAAAAACGGTAGAAACCTCAGGAAGAGCAACTGAGGAGGGATCCCTCTTCCAGGACGGACAGATGTGCAATAGATGTCGTACAGAACAGATCAGCATAATAAATTAACAGTAATCTGTATGACACAATGAGACAGAAAGAGAGACAGAGACAGAGAGAGATGCAGGACAGACGGTAACAGTAATAGCTTACAACAACATTAATGAAAGTAATAATATTATAGTTATAATTCTGGCTATTGTGGTACAATATGTTGAAAGTATATATTAATATCTGATAGTATACATATGTGACAATAATCATATGTGTATAATAAGTGTGACTAATGATAACAGCAGCAGCAGGAGGCATCTGGCAGGACCATGGCAGCAGCACAACCACACACGTCACACTATCCAGGCATCGCTGCAATATGAGTTAACCTGCGAGACAGTGGAGTACAAAGGCTCCGGAGAAGAAGGCGAGTTAGTGACATGCAGTACGGCCGAGTTAGCAAGATACAGTAACAGGACATGGGAGAGAGAAAGAGAGAAGGAGATAAGGTGCCCGGTGTATAATAGGGGGTCCCCAGCAGACAAGGCCTAAGTCAGCCTAACTAGGGGCTGGTACAAGGCAAGCCTGAGCCAGTCCTAGCTATAAGCTTTATCAAAGAGGAAAGTCTTAAGTCTAGTCTTAAATGTGGAGATGGTGTCTGCCTCCCGGACCGCAACAGGAAGATGATTCCACAGGAGAGGAGCCTGGTAGCTGAAGGCTCTGGCTCCTGATCTACTTTTGGAGACTTTAGGGACCATGAGTAACCCTGCATTCTCAGAGCGCAGTGTTCTGGTGGGATAATATGGCACTATGAGCTCTCTAAGATATGACAGAGCCTGACCATTTAGAGCTTTATAAGTTAACAGTAGGATTTTAAATTCAATTCTGGATTTTACAGGGAGCCAGTGCAGAGAAGCTAAAACAGGAGCTGTTGCAGAAGCTGCTGCATTCTGAATTAGCTGGAGAGTTTTTAAACACTTACTGGAGCTACCTGATAATAGGGAGTTCCAGTAATCCAGCCTAGAAGTAACAAAAGCGTGGACCAATTTTTCTGCATCTTTTTGGGTCAGGATAGGCCTAATTTTCGCAATATTACGCAGATGAAAAAATGTAGTCCGTGAGGTTTGTTTTAAATGAAAGTTAAAAGACAAATCTTGATCAAATATTACTCCGAGGTTTCTTACGGTAGCGCTAGAGGCCAGAGCAATGGCATCTAGACAAACTATGTCATCAGAAAAAGAGTCTCTGAGTTGTTTGGGGCCAAGAACAATAACTTCAGTTTTGTCTGAATTTAACATAAGGAAATTGGTGCTCATCCAGGTTTTTATGTCTTTTAGGCAATTATGAAGTTTAGTTAATTGATTAGTTTCTTCTGGCTTCATCGATAAATACAACTGTGTATCATCTGCATAACAATGGAAATTTACAGAGTGATTTCTAATGATGTTACCTAAAGGAAACATATATAGAGTAAATAGGATTGGTCCAAGCACAGAACCTTGCAGAACTCCAAAACTAACTTTAGTACATAAGGATGATTCATCATGAACGTGAACAAACGGTCAGATAAATAAGATTTAAGCCAGCTTAGTGCAGAACCCTTTAGGCCAATTAAATTTTCCAGTCTGTAGCAGAATTTGATGGTCAATTGTGTCAAACACCTCACTAAGATCTAATAAAACAAGTGCAGAGATGAGTCCTTTGTCTGAAGCAATCAGAAGATCATTTGTAATTTTAACTAGTGCTGTCTCAGTGCTATGATACACTCTAAATCCTGACTGAAATTCCTCAAATAAATTATTATCGTGGAGAAAATCACACAGCTGGTCTGCGACTACTTTCTCAAGAATCTTTGAAAGAAAGGGAAGATTACCCTGGATCCACCTCTGGCTTTTTTAGGAGAGGTTTAATTACAGCTACCTTAAAAGACTGTGGTACATAACCTGTTAATAAGGATATATTGATCATATCTAATATATGAGTGTTAACTAAAGGAAAGACATCCTTAAGTAGCCTAGTTGGGATGGGGTCTAAGAGATGAAGAAATCACTGCAGTCAATTCTTGAAGAAAAATTGGGGAGAAGCAATCTAAATATATATTAGGTCTTACAGCTGTGTTTGAGGAAAGATAGGTACTATCTGAGGACAGGAGGTCATGAATTTTGCATCTAATAGTTAGAATTTTGTCATTAAAAAAGCTCATAAAATCATTACTGCTAAGGGCTAAAAGAATGCTGTTAGAACTCTATGTGAACTCTAATTTCAACTCCTTTTTACCAGTTACATAAAAACTTAAAGTTTCTGAACAAAATAAAACAGGCTGCAGTGAGAGTCTCTCTCAATGAGATATTTAAAAATAGCGGATTTGTGTATTTAGTCTTTCTAAGGTAAGCTCAGGGGTTTAGTGTTGCCGGAGCTTGCATGAATGACACTCCACAATGCTTTTTTTTTCTCAGAGTGAAGATTGCGATATATGCCATCCCGGTCGAAATGAATATATATATATAAATGCTTGAAGATCCACTCATTTTAAAAAGTAAAAAGTGTACGTCATATAAAAAAGTAATGGAATTGTTAAAGTTGTCACATTACAATTTAAGGTGTGCTGATGGATTCATGTAAACAACTCATGCATTGAGTATCATTACAAGTTAATGTTACACCTGAAAAGTCACCGACAGTCAGCCCAGTGAATTAAGTTATTTTTTTCTCCAACTACGGCTGCTGCAAGAGGCAGCAAAACATCCTTTCTTTTTATAGTTGCAGTGTACTAATAAAACTCATGGTATTAACAGTGGTTACATGAGCTTCAAAACCAGCCACAACTCAGCCCAGAGCAAGAGTAACCGTCTGCTATTGACCAAATGAATGGACTGCAGTGTTTAAAGCTCCACCTCACCAGATCAATGTGCCAAGTACTCCAACAGATGGGTGACTAAAAATGGGGATGGTACGAAACAGTTCAATTGGTACTGTCCACAACTTTTTACAGTGAAAACTAAAAAGAAAGTGTACCAAACCTGTACCGTTTTGTAGTGCTCAGTGGAAACGGGGCTATATCTCCCAGTTCCTTGCTCTCCAAATAAAGGGAGTCACTGAGAAGAAAGCACATACTGCACTCACTAGCTTTCTCTGGAGCTTTTCCACTCTGTTTGCCTTTGTCAGCTAATGGAACTTGCTCAGATGCGACCAAAATTTCTAAGTTTGGTAAATCAACATGATAAATGCAGTCCTGTCTCCTAGAAATTATGTTTATATAAAACAAATTTGAAACAGCAAACACATTGCAAAGCAAATTCTGTTTGCCACTGACATTATGAGGAAATGTATCTTATTAATGTATCAGGCAAGCTGCAAAAATAATAATGCTGAACATATCAGCAAAATGTTCACTGACAACATTTTTTGTTTGTTTTCTTCCAAAATTGGAAATTTTACAAAACAGTATTCGCTCATAGTGACTACAGCATTATTATAACTATGTTAATAGTAATTTAACTGAAATCAGGATCCTTCCCTCACCTTAACCAAAGTACTTTTTTGTGTAAACTAAACAAAGACAGGAGTCTGGACACACCTCGGGATAAGTGTCACAATCTTGCACTTTGTTTTTGCCTTCCACCCCGACTACCTCCCTGTGAATCAAGCGTGGTACATAAATATGTTGCTTTATAAACTCAAAAAAACATCTCTGAACGTAATCCAGGGAGCAATTATGTTCTTACTGCAAAATGATTATGAAAACAATTTAGTATAATACATAAACATAATTTATAGGAGACAGGGTTGGATAAATCCTAACCCCTGTCTCTAAATAAAGATGGACTTTGGCCTCAGATTTGAATGTCTTCCTTGATCTTTCTGTGGTTGTCTGCTGACTCCTGGTCAAAGATTTTGACCACTTCTCAGCTGCTGCTGTGATAGTTTTTGTCTCATGTTCACAGAGAGCTGATACTGTCTGTTGCTGGTGTGTGCTCAGGTGGCCCTCCATGTTATGACTGGTTTCCAGGCCCCTATTCAGGTTGCAGGGGGGTGCTCTTGGTACTTTGTCCTTATTTACCGAGAAGGGTTTAAAGTCAGCAGATGGCCAGAGAAGGATCAGAAAGGCCGGTCACATTCAGCGTCTCCTTCTAAACAGACACTGCCTATTATTTCACCCCCATTTACTACATGACCAAAGTTCTGAACTTAGATCAAATATCCAGTCAATAATGTTACCAGTTTTGGTCTCATATTTACTGATATTGTCTGCAGCTGGTACTTTTCCACTTACCCAGGGCCCCAGCATGGACCCTGGCAGCTAGTTACAACATCAGATAGGAACGGGACAAAGTTGTTGACTGTCAATCAGTCAAACAAAATTCTGTACTGAGCTCATGTCATTGCTCACTGATGCTGTGAGCAGTTTCGATCTCATTTTCATAGATACCTAATATCAGCCTCTGGTGTCCTTCTTACCCAGGGTACTTGCTAAGACTCAATTCCCTTAAGTCTACTGGACACTGTAAAAGCCCCGGAAAAGAGTGAAACTTGAGTTTAGAATTTTCTATCTCAGATACGTGTTCCAGAGGTCAAGAATGACTCTTTGTGCTCAAGCATTGTAACAGCTTACCTTGCTCTTAAACTAACCTTTCTCTGTGCAACCCCCCCCCCCCAACTACAGTAATGTGTGGTGTAGTGTGAGGTTGTTGTGTTGGCATGGCCAGTGTGGCAAGGCATGCTCCAGCATGGCAGATTGTAACTCAAGGTCTCCCAGCAGGGCGAGCCTGGAGCACAGGGACCCCCAGGACCACCAGGACCACCCGGACTCCCAGGGACCCCAGGCCTGAATGGAGCCAGTGGCCCTCCGGTGAGTCTCAGTCGAGTTCACCAGAAATTAAATTTCTACGTTCACACCTGCTGAAAAGTCACCCATATCATTTCGGCTCTTGCACAAACAGAAGTTGTTACACTGAGACTTAAAAACAGGAAAAAGTGATGTTAAGTTTTTAATTAATCAATTCAGAATTGGCCAATTTGTTTTGCATCAGTGGCCATTCAATGTGTCTGTCCATCTTTCAATGCTTTCTGACTTCCCGACCATGTGTATGGCTCTCGACCCCCAGCCCACAGGTTCCAAATGAGACTTTAGAAAAGTACATGAATTTCATTTATTTTTATTGAGAGGACTTCATTGGAACAACAGCAGATACTTGTATTTTTATTATGAGGCATATTTTATACTCCTCATAAAGAGGGTTCACCACAGAGGTCATCAACCATATTTGTCTGAGGGCAAATTTTTCTAAGCAGACACTGAAACACAGAATCAGTTCAGGAACGACCCAAATGCAGAGTTACAGGCAAGGTTGAAGTTTAAACAAAAAGTGAGCTTAAATGCAGCTGATAAAAAAAAATTGGGTACAGGCAGGTAACTTATAGTCCAAATGAAAGCAGAAACAAAACTAAACTGAAAACCAACTGGGATAATACCATGATCTCAAATCCAAAATCTAAACGGAACACCAGGCAGGAAACGGAGCAGAGAATGGCAGCAAGAACATGGGGGTGAGCACAGGAATCAACACAGGACTGAACACAGAGATGAATGCATGAATGAACACAGGACAAACTGACAAGGAACAAAGAGAAACACAAAGGTACATATATACACAGAAAACTAATCACAAAAATGAGACATTGCTAGAGTAGGAACACACAGGCAAAAAGAGGGAAATGTGGATTGGCTACCAAAAAGGATGTGGAGGGGAACACTAGGGCAGAGCAACAAGGCTAATACACTAATACAGAACAGAGGTCTGTACTATGAAGCAGGATTTGAAGTTAGCAAGGAAATTTCCAAGGTTAACTCAGGGTTTTCAGTACTACGAAGCTGGTTCTCTTTTTACCGGGATAAATCACTTTGGAATTTTATGCTGAACAGCTAACCTGCTCCGGAGCAGGTTAACATCGGATCACAGCCTGTCAACATCCCGACCTCTGACCAATAAGATCACTGAAGAAAAAGTATCCATGGAAAAAAGTCAAGGGTCTCAAGTAAAAAAAGAGGAGCCTAAACTGTATATTGCTGTAGGTCAGTAGAATCACGTCATTGTTCCAGGGCTCTTTTTTCCACTGGTTTTGAAACAGAGCTTCTAACAAACGGAGATTGTTTACATCACTACACACATGATTTTAGCAGTATTTGAAATTATGCAAAGTTTACAGAGCCTGCAGTAGGGATACGCGCAGTTATAAGTTTAAACGGTTAAATGTCTGCCCCCTTGCTAGTTGGCACCAGAAATATTAGTCAGTTAAACCTTTTAGTGTTTTATTCATGTACAAGGCCACTTAACTGTCATGCAGCCGCCCGCCACTAGTGGGTGCTACAGAGCCGTCAGACAGCAGTCCCCCTCCCCACGGTAATGCTAGAGTAAACTGGAGTTTTGAAACAACACGGTGGAAAATTGGAGAAATGTCCTCTCGCAAAACCAGCACGGTTTGGCACAACTTTGATCTAGACAAGGAAAACAATGTAGCCTGTGTCAGGAAAGAAAAGACATATAATCACTCTACTGGAGCAATGCTCAACCTCATTCAACATGCGTTTGGATGTTAACCTGCATGGAACAAAGGCTGCTGCTGCCACATACAAATTGATATTGTTCACCCGGAGACGCTGTGATCCTGCTCGGTCTGAGAAAATAACGCAGCTCATCATGACTGATCTCGCAAGATATGCTGAACTTTGTTGAAGGTAAAAGCTTCAGGAAGTTAATGCAATATGTTGAGCCTGAATGTTCATGTTCACATTCATACCACTTGGCGAAAAGTGTCTCATACTTCAGTGGCATTTAAAATCCGATGTGGTTGTTGAAGGTTGTTATTAAAGACTTTAAGAGGCAACAGATAGGATTTGGGTTTTTTTTAGCTTGGCGCCACTTAGCAGTGTTGCTCGCACTTCGGTCACGGAGCTCCCTCCATCTCTTGAACGCCTGACTGAGGTTTACTCTTGTTTTTCCTCTTCTTTTATCACTCTCCTTTTTGTGCATCCTCGCCTCCACAGACAGATGAGCTCGTTTTCTTTTGTGGAGGCCATTTTTCACTTGTCTCCAAACTTTGTCTGTCTGCATATAATGTGCCTGCTTAATATACTTACTTTGATGAAACCTAATAACTAGGGAAAATCAAGGCCCGCCGCTATTACAGTATTACAGTAATTGTTTTCCCATTGAAACAAGGGGTGACAAGAGAATGAAATAAATCACTTCACATTAATGATGCAGAGAAAATGTTTGTCTACAGCACTGAATTGATTAGAGGACAGGTCATATGTGATACACTTAACTTACACAGTGAGGAGGGCTGTTTGATCAAATGGCTTGAACCGCTGACTCTCTTGCCGTGAGGGATCTGGGTGCACCAGTGTTAAAAGGCTGAAAGCAGAATGAAGCGCTCGCTGAAGCTGGAGGTTGACTGCGTATGGAGGCCTGCAGTGATGAGGACACTGACGAGGCAGAGGCTGAGCCATATCCAGGGACTGAAGTAAGGTGTGCATGGAAAGCTTGGCCGGTATAGTCAGGGACTGCACATGGCTATCTGGTTGCACATGTGCAAAGTGTCCTGAAGTAGTAGCAGATCATGTTACGTGTAGCTTGGGCCCATATCTTGATTCCATACACATCACTGAGATAGAGATGACTGAAGATGGATACGATTATGCGTTGACAATACTGACTGATATCAGGCAAGATTGCCTGAACGGGAGGACATGATGGATGAGAGGTGATTCCGCTTCTGCTGGGAAATAGTGCATCGGCTTGCTACTATCAACAGTACACTGAAAAGACGATTGCCAATGCAACAATTCTGCCTAATATGACGGCTGACAGCTGGCAGCAGAAGAGAGAGCAGATTTAAAACTTTGTGGTAGCATCCTGAATGGCTGATAGAGATTGTGGCAAAGTTTGATTGGATAACAGAAGCAGTGGGAGTGGGAGGGAGAGAACTGTGAATGGATGAGCATAAAGAAAGTCTTACGGATTGAACTTACACTGAGCTTCATTAGTTTCATCATCATGCAACTAAACAGCAAAAAATACTCTTTAATAATGTCACATAGGTCCATTTCTCAGTGATACCTGCATGTAATTTAAGTCTTGGCTGACGTCAGTGACATTTTACTATCACGTAGTCACAGACACTTTCTGTACAGTTTCATCTCATTTAATATGAAGTAGCCTACTTCACTCATGGTTCCGATGATGTCACTCGCAATTAACACTCCTGTCTCTTTCACATGAATGCTCATGGCTGGATAGGAAAACCCAGAGTTGACTAATTTGGTTGATAACCAGCTTTGTAATACAGACTGACTGGGGGGGCTGGAGCCTATCCCAGCTGACATTGGGCGAGAGGCGGGTACACCCTGGACAGGGCACCAGACTATCGCAAGGCTAACACAGAGACAGACAATCATTCACACTCCTTTTCACACCTACGGCCAATTTAGAGTCACCAATTAACCTATCCCCAACTTGCATGTCTTTGGATTGTGGGAGGAAGCCAGAGTACCCAGAGAAAACCCATGCTGTCATGGGTTTTCTCTGCACAGAAGGGCTCCCTCCTGGGATTGAACCAGGAAGCCTCTTGCTGTGAGGTGACAGCGCTAACCACTACACCACGCCGCCCTGATGCTCATTCATTTATGTCCAAATCTCTTCGAGGCCCCGCTCTTCTTTGGAAACTCTGTCACTTCCAATTGGTCAACTGCAGAAACATTTTGGGGACATGCTTTAATGGCTTAGTTTAAAATGTCCACTGACTTAGTTGATGTTTGAACAGAGAAAGACCATTGCACTTGTTTGGAACTTGTGGTGCCCCTTATTGATTGATTTCAAAATAATTTAACACACGTGGCTCATCATTATTATTCAGCATACCCTGCAAGTTTTGTAATGATTGGACAATCAATTTCTGAATTCTAGTCTGATTTGTATTATCCCAAGCCCATATTTTGCATTTGTGGTGCCCCCTAGTAGTCAATATGAATGATTTTTTTTCAGGATATGTTGCAAGATATTGCTTGCAAGGTTTTCTGAGGATTGGCCCAAACCATTTGCTGAGCCGCGCCCCCTTTGAAGTTCATTGGTCAATATCTTCAGAAAGCAATGAGATATCAATAACAGTTAAAGAATTGGTGATAAAATTCTGAAAAAAATCTCACATCATTCTGCTAATTTCAGGTATATTGTCAAATATTGGTGACATCTGGTTTAGAATTAGATGGAATAGGAAATATTGTGCATACAGTGCAAATTACAACAACATAATGAATATTACTGTGAGCTAACAGTTAAATCTGATCTGAGCACCATTTGAAACATATGACCTTTAGTATCCAATGAATGTCTCTGTCAGTGGTGGTTGCATTTAGATAAAGACTTTTGGACACATTGATGTTAATTAATTATGCATATTCTTAACAATATAGAATGACGGACTTCCGGATTGACTATAGTTTACAGCATGGCAAACTCATCAAAATTCAGCGGATGTGCTGAAAAATGTCAGCTCTGTAGGACACACCAGTGATTTATTATGATTTTATGAAGTATAGAATGTGAAATGTCTTGAAATGTTAATGTTATAAGCCACACCCCCTTTAAGCAATCATTTTCAAATTTTGTGCATCAACTGAGACAGGACCCTAGATGAACCACGTTTCATACAAATATCTCTGGCTGATTACAAGATATCAACTTTCTACATGTTTAGCGCTCCCTATAAGTGGATTTTAATCAAAGTTTTGTGATGATTGGGTCAATGGTTTAGGAGTAAACACCATGTGCTGAGCCACGCCCCCTCTAA